CTGTTCATGCACTTAATGCCTGTGTGACATTATCAAATTATTTAATTCCACTAACTCTGTTTTCTTATCTGTTAAAGTGTGGATAACCTAAGGTTGTTTAAAGGCTTAAATGCGATAATTAAAGCATGTTGTCAGCTGCTGTCAAGTTGCTCCCACCTTGACTCACTGCTAGGCACAATGGAATGAAACCCTGCTCAGTCCTGTACCATACTCATGATCGATTGTGGATCAGACCACTGTGATCCATATGGCTTTCATTGGCTGACTCCTGGAAGTAGATTGCCAAGCCTTTCTCCCTTGTCCATCAGTGGAGCTTCTGTCCCAGTGAAATCCTTCAGCATCATACCAACAGGAGTGCCTCCACTGACAGACAAGTGGTGGTTGCACATGTGTTTTATTACTTAGGAATCAAACCTGATTTCCCTTATGGAAGAAGAGAATTCTACAACTGAATCACCAAGCATACTGCATAGAAAATTGGGGATTAATATTCATTCTCTTTTGTATTCTCTCAACTCTTCCACTTAGAATGTGACTTTAAACAAGGCTCCTAACTCTCAATTTACTCATCTTTAAAGCAGGAATAATAATATTGGGCCCAACTACACCACAATGTCAAATTAGATAACCTATATCAAAGCATTTTGTAAAGTAAAAGCATTAATACAAACGTATGTAAAGGATTCCTATTAACACATGTAATTGGTTTGCTGATTTCTATAATTCTTAGTGATCATCTAAAATGTAAAGTTCACCACTTAAAATGAAGTTCGCAGTCATATTAAGTATTTTAGGAGTTTTCCAGCTTATTGCTTTATCTGGCTTTAGATAATTTTACTACTGCTCTGTACCTCCATCAAAAAATGGAAGCGAAATTTGGAGCACATTTTGCTGAGTGAAATAAGTCAATCACAGAAGGACAAATATTATATTACTCTACCACTGTAAAAAGTCAAGGAAGGGTTTATACATGGAAGGATACTTTCTTGGTTGGTTACCAGGGAGGGGAATATGGAAGTTGTTATGTTGGTGAATGTCT